TTTTTTTTTTTTTCGTTTATTTACATCTCGAATAATTTTTTAGAATTTATTATCATGAAAATTTAATTATTTTATAAGTACTGAAAATTATTTAATTATCAGTTTGTAAAGATAAATTTATTATAAAAAAAATTCAAAAGTATTATAAATAAAAACTTTATTTGTATTGTAGTTACAATATACAATACGTATAGATTCATAATTAATTAAAAAGAATTTTTTACAACAAAGTGGATTTCACGATTTGTTCGACAACCGTGACGATGTTTGTAGGTCATATATTTGTAACGATCACGCTACATAAATGCATGACCACTTATCTGGATTGGCGGCGTGATATACAAAAGTCAATATGTTCTTTCGACATTCCGGTCCAGTACGATAAACGAACGTTTTTTGAATTAAACATAAGTTTACCACCGAGAAGAGCGTCGACAGAATTTGAGCAAGGAATGGTGATAAAGGTATTAAAAATCAGAAAAATATATAATGTACCGTGCAATAATATAAATTCATCTCATTAGGAACGAATTTTTTAAATTAGATAAAAGTAATTAAAATTTTTATTTAATTAAATTTTATTTAATTTAAATTTATATCAATTAAATAGAAAATAAAAGAATGAAAAAATTAAAAATATTATGATGAATATTGTTTGTTCTTTTGTCAGCAATATTAGAATTAAAAAAACGAAATTCCAATGTCCCTGAGATTAAGCTTTAAATAAATATAATAAATAGTAATCAATAAAAATTCTTTTACAATTCTCTTCTTATTTTATGAATTGATTGTACATTTATACATTACATTTATTTTAACAATTTATTTACGATATTAATCATATCTTCAAGAACATCTTTCTTTTTTTACTTTGCAGTAAGTGCAGTCAGATATTTAGAGTAGTATATTATGATTTAATCTCTTTTAAAGTTTGTTAATCTTATAACGAACCACGAGATCATAGTTGAAGAAAAAGTAATGAAGTTAATGATTCTGAATACTTGACCTATTAGAACTTAAAGTTATGATTTAAAGAGGCAACTCTAAAATCCGAAAAAGGAAACTATCAGAAAGAACGAGATTAGCTTAAATTTTCTATAATACATTAAAATTAATAAGAGTTTAATTTTTCGATATAATTGCCAGAAATATTTAATATAAATATTGCACAAATATCTATATAAAAAACTATACTATATAAAAAATTACACTATATAAAAAATTTACATAGCTAATTAAGCAATAACATGTTGAAACTGTGCTGACATGAGAGGTCGGAATTAATTAATGTCGTACGCCATGCGATATAATGACAGAAATATTAATAGACTACAACGCTTACCTACGGTCGTCAGCAACATGTTATCCAGCAGCAATGCGATGGCGACGATAACGAGAACGAGCCTCCGAGATTGCCGGCATCGTTGCAACCAACCGCTCCAGTCTCCACCTCCCATTCTCAAATTTTATCCTTCCTCTAATGTTCTACAACATTGGCAATATAAACAGCAAGAGATTTGAAAGATGCGTAAATAAAATTTCGTTGTGTTGAATATCGCGTACTTTTCGTCGCGCTCTTGCAAGTTAAGAATTAAACCTAATGAAGACACACCAGGTATGAAGTATTATTTATTGATGCTCCTTTCACTATCAAATGAAATCCACGTAACAGTTGAATGGATTTCGTTCAATAACAATACTGAAATCCATGTGAAAATTGAATTAATTATTATATGTTTGATCGATTTTCTCCTAAGAGTTTTCTCGTAATATTTACGTAGATATACACATATATAAGAATTATACCTAACAGTTATATAATGAATGCATTTTGGCATATATAACTTTCAAGAATATCACACACAAGTCTCTAAATTAATTGTCATATAAAACTAAATAAAATAATAAATAACAATAAGATTAAGGCCAATGAGAGTCAGCGCGGGAATAGGTATGCATAGGTATTAATTCATGTAAAATACTTCAATTTGATAGATGATGTGCAGTTTTATTCCGAAATCTTGTCTCTTATTTCGAATTAAAGATTTCGAAATAATGCTGTATCATCTAGCAAATTGAAGTATTTTACATGAATTAATACCTATTTCCGCGCTGATTCTCATTGGCTTTAATCTTATTGTTATTTATTATTTTAAAGTTTGAGAGTCCGATTTAAATTTTTTTAACTAAATAAAATTGTGCTGTCAAAATATATTTTTTATTTTGAAACCCAATTTTGGATTCTTCTTCAAGAAATTATTTTAGAATATAGGTGAAAATTTTCATACTGCGTCTTTTATTCTTTCTATGTATACTTTTTATTTACGAGAATATTATATATAGAATTCTGCCGCGTTCATTTAACGATATCGCATATTGTTCGCGAATGAGCAGCTTTAGTTGAATAATTCTATGTGGATTATACAGGGTATCTGATAATTGTTCTAACAAAGTTCGTGCACATGTAGAACGGATTAAACTGAGACGGAAAGTTTTCTATCATTTTGCAATTTTCGCAATAGTTAGCAAGATATTAATTGTTAAAAATTGCTGAAAATTGGTCTTCAATAATTTTTTACTTAAACACTATTAACTTTACAGAAAAACTGCAAGATGCGAAAATTGTTTACTTTCTTCTCATAAAGCTCTAAAAATTTTTTTAGAATTTTTTCAGAATTTTTCAATACCGTATTTTTTCATATTAAAAATGAGAAAATGCAGTACTAAAAAGTTGATAAAAAATTCTGAAAAAATTCGTAGAGTTCTATGAGAAGAAAATAAACAATTTTCTTATCGCTTGCAGTTTTTCTGTAAAGTTGATAGTGTTTGAATAAAAAAATGATCGAAGATCAATTTTCGACAATTTTTAGCAATAATATCTTGTTAACTATTGCGAAAATTGCAAAATGGTAGAATACTTTCTATCTCAGTTTAGTTCGTTCCACAAACTCTGTCAGGACAACTATCAGATACCCTGTATATTAAAATTTATATAGAAGTATCTAGAAAATAGAATTTTCATTGAAATTTAGGAAAATTTATTCGAATTTGACAATGAAATCACAACGTTATATTATGTAATATTATGTCGATGATATCCATCGATGATGTTGATGATGTTTCTATGTAATTCACGTAAAATATGAATTCAACGTGGACATCATGTACCTGTTTTCATAGAGAAGTGGTAAATAGAAATTACGAAAAATCAATCAATCGTTCCAACGGAATCCTTTCACGAAGCTAAACAATCGAACCCAGTATTGCGTTGATATTTTACCGCATTCACCTTCGAACATTTTTCAATTAATTAATTGTTACATTTATAAATCTACTACATTTGTCGATTTTCTCGTGTAGTTTTAAAAAAAGACATTAGACACCCTGTGAACACTAATTAATATAAACACTAAAGTATCGAACGATACTTTTCCGAAGAGCTAAGACATTAGTAATTAAATATTAATCGATTTAGAGAATGATTATTTATTACTAAAATATTGTATTTGTGAAAACATTTCTTTCGAAGATAACATTGATGAATTAATAAATTAAGGCGTACTCGCGTATATTTTATAAGGCGGTTAGGTAATGTCACATAAATCTTAGATGGATTTATGATTATTGGAGCGAAATTTCCTTTTTGATGCTTTATGTTCAAATTATAAGCAATATTAAAGAACAAAATCGCGCGAGTAGTTTCTACTGGAAAAAATCTTGAATGGGAAAGACGGAAATAGTCTGAATGCCGGAAAAGACGCATCTGCTTTAACAGAAGATAAAATCGTCTTCGCTGAAAACTGTCAATTGTGGAAAGTGGTCAAAATTTGCGATTTACTCTTTCACAATTTCTTGTCGATTTGGGCAAATCGTATCTTTCCCACTTACCTTCAGGATTAGTTTTGAAATGCTTGCAATGAATTTTATCTTTTTAAAGATTTTACGCACATAAATGATGTTCATTTATTATTTATTATTTTCTACTTAATTTTTATTTATTCGCTAAATAAATACCATGTTCAATTTAATTGTACACTTTTTTTTAAAATGTGCATGTCAAATTTATTTTAATATATTTATAACACAAAAGTGATTATCAACAATAGGACTAAATTAATCCTAATTTAAGACTAAAAATTTACATTGTCATTTGAATTAGTTTTTATTAGTGAAAAAAAGAAGTTACATAAATAAAAGGATTGATTTATTATTCTACTCCTGTACAAACATTTTTAATGATATAGAAAGATAAAAGAATATTATTCTTAAGTAAGAAGAAAAGATAATTATACATACAAATCCAATTTCATAAAGTAAATACTATAGCTTGTGTTAAATTTGTATCAAGTTAAGTATTCGTGAGGATGTACATATGCGACATTAATTTCACAGATAAATGAAGATTTAATAACGTAAAAAATAAGTTATACCTATAATATTTCCAGAAGATTACTTTTCGTTTAGAGAAGCTCAATTGAGCGTTAAAATCAATGACATTTCGAAGAAGACAGATTTTATAAAAAGCTTTATGCGAGAAAGAGAGAGAGAGAGAGAGAGAGAGAGAGAGAGAGAGAGAGAATAATATAAAAAATAAAACTTTACTTTTGCTTTTAAACAAATGAAATATTATTTAAATGTTACAAAGACATATGAGTTTTTTTTAAAGATCTTTGTTTTTGTCGTTCGCGATTTCTTTTAACGCCAACTTTTTCCTTTAATAACGAGTAACATTCGCACGATTGTATCAAGTACAGCAGTCTTAATTGTCGAAGTTTTCTAGAAAGCACCCGCTTCCGTTTCTCGTTGAAACTCGCTATCGACTCGACGTTCGTTTAGCGCAATACAATTAACCACATTAATTACAGGCTTTTAATAGTACCTGCGTCGTCCTGCCCCCCGACCCACGTTCCGCGCGCGTGATGCCCGCTTCTCTTTTATTCGTCATAACTCGGTTACCCCACGCTTTTAGTCCACCTAATTTTCATGCTCGCCCTTTGAAAAGGCAGGCATCAAAGGCTATTGCGACTTTCAGCGCTGTCTCGCGCGTTCAGAGTACTTTATCCTATTTTTCATTAAGAAGCGTCGCGTAAGAATTTCACTGTAAAGCGAATCAAAACGCAATTGATGCATTATATTTCTACCGGACACTTTTCTCACCTTTGATTTAACTTGAGTGTGATTCAAACGAAAGAATTCCTTCGATCTACCGTTCTTTTGTCTATGGATAATCGTATCTTTCCTCTTCTTATTCAAAGTGAAAAGAATTATCAAATAATAGGACCGATGATAGCATGTCCCTACGCTTGATTGTTGTGGAGACCCCCGCGAAATGAAAAGAGCACAAAGCTGTTGGTATCGCGAGATAAGAGTTGTTTAAGGGCCGAAGAGGCAGAGAAGAAGCCATGGGGACCTATACGCATGCACGCATACGCAAACGGCGGATTATACGTCTCCGTCACTGACGAAGTCGAAGATTGATAGCGTGGAAAGGAGAAGGGGGAAAGGGATAGGCGGATGGAGAATTGCTATGAAGGGAAAAGGAGCGTGAGAGCCGGGGAAGCAATCAGCATTTTCCTGAAAGCCAACTCCCTGGGGTCCGCGCGCATTATTCTCGGGAAAGACCGCGTCCCACTCGTGCCACTTATAAGCTCCGCTACCTTCCGCCATGACTGACTCCCTTCTGATCCCCCCCCCCTCCCTCCCCCCTTTCAACCCTCTTTCTCCTCCACCTTCACCCGCTCCTCGTTCTCTTATCTTCTTGGTAATTACGACAAAGAATGACCGCAAGACGCGCTTCTGTTTGTACTGGGCTTTCGTACTCGCAGCACACGATGGGATGTTGAACGTCCCCGCGTCTCCATAACTTGCTGGCAGTGCTGGCTATTCCCATTGGAAACATCCCCCGATCAATCTAACGTCGTATGCCTTCCAATCCTACGGAGATCCTTTTTTTTCTCCCGATTTGTCGCCCGTCTTGTTCCCGCTGCGATAGATGTGTGCTTACTCTTTTAAAACACGACAGTTACGGTATATAAAAAGCCCTTTCAATCTCTTTTCCAAACAAACTATATATATATATAGCGTCACTTCTTCTATCAAATATTTACTTATGATTGAATGAAAGCTTTCTTTTTTATTCGTAGAGAAGACGTGTCTCAAAATCAATTTTGCGCAATTAATTGTAGATTTTAATACAGGAAGACAATGTATGTATGATCTACCTCTACCTCCTTTCTTGGCATGAAATATTCGTGTATTCTATTAGGTTCTAATCTAATAAGCTCGATGTAATCATGCATAATTGCAAGCGCGAGATGCGAATTTTGGATGAAGCGCTTATATACGCAAAGCTCGACAATATAGTCCCGAGATTCTGAAGAGGTGGTTGACAGGCGATACGAGTCGTTGAAAGGGTATGGGGTGATCGTTTTGCGATTGACAGCAACTTCTCGGTAGCGGCTTGATGAAGTGGTTGCGGGGATCTG